TGCAAAATAATACAATAATGTGGTAAATGCCTATGTCGGCCAATGCACAATGATACAATATAAATAATAAATAACGTGCCTACGACGGCTAGGCCCGTCGGCCTTTAAACACAAATGAACAAATATGGTCGACCAATACTCACTTGTGACTATGTTGAAATGGCTGATTCCATCCACGCGACCGCACCAACCCTGTGATTAAACAATTGCCTATGACGGCACACCGCAGTGTATCAATAAAAAATAAATCACAGAATTGGTACGTGCGACCACTCAAGCACAGTCACCAACGTAAACACTGCAACGGTCCACAGCCCTGGACACGATGACACAATGAATGAAAACCACGTTATTCACAAAACGAAAATGACACTACACAAAAAACGTGGTTTTAATGAAAATGGCTGCGGACGTACGGACTTGACAAAAATGAAATTAGATGTGCACACCACGAAGACACAAAAACGAGAGCGAGATGGGTCCGACGACATTCACCACGAAGGCTAAGGCCGCCGGACACCACAATGAAGATAAATGTCTCAGTGCCACCACACTAAACCAAAAATACACGAGAACTTACGAAACTTTGGCACTGAGAACATGACTTTTACTTTTACAAAAACGTAACCGACAATTTTTTGAAAACGTGGAATAACAATCATTAACGTGCGACGATAACAGCGCGATAACGTATCCGGCCGGTCGCGCACGGAGGCTTATCACCGCCGCCGACGAGGGCCGCGAATACGCAACGCGCCGCTGCGCATCGCACGAAAATGATGACATGAACAAATTTTATACAAACAATATATACAGCGCGAACAAATAGTCTATATTATAATGAAAAAAATATTAATAATAATAATAATAATAAAAATGATTTAATCAGTACTGTATAAGCAATAGTCATTATTTATTCTTACTTTTCTTTATTTATTCGCTACAAATTTTATGGCAGGGTCACAGTGAAAATACAGTTGGTTGTAATCATATCAGATCTCAAAAACTTATTATTTTTTGACAAGTGTTTATATATA